ATATATATACTGCACCCTCTATTAGAATATATATATTGAAAGTATTTTGCAGTGCATCGCCTGTTTTACATATCATGAGATTGACTACTGAGCTCGCTGTGGCCTGTGTGTCCCCATGATGTATGCATGCATACACGTGGCTTTATGGATGTGTGTACATGTGTGTGCGTGGTATGTTCGTCCATTGGCTGTCCTCTGTCAGGTCCCCTGATGAAACACCCAGCAGGAATTCACAGCGTCAAGGCAGCTGCTGCAGCTCTCGAAGTCCCTCCTTGTCTTCCATCAGGAGTGCCTCCAGATCACCCACCAGGTAACCCTCCCCCATTGCGCACACACACGCACAGACAGTATAGTCCACTGAAATACCTCTCCTGACTGTCAAGCAGTTGCTCTGGTGACAGTAAGTCTTCCCATCATTTACTCTTGACCCCCAGGGCAATAGATTGGAATACAAATGGCGCTCGCTTGCATTTCTTAAACTAGCCCTGCTAAATGGTTGTGATATCTCACTCTGCCCTTATGTTCAGTTAGATGAGAAAGCATTCATTGTTTATTCAGTTCATGGGGCATTTATCTTTTTATTCTGTAGTTATGTATTATAGTTCAGCCTTTTGCATTACTTATAATTGCTCTTGAATAATTAAGAGTCACTCTTGAGGGATCACATGACTCATAATGTGCATTAACAGATCAGCAAGTCAGAAAAAAGGTTTTACTCTCTACCTGTCTAAGCTAAACTGTAGGGAAACATTATGCAGAGTTCTATATAAACGTTATTTGTGCGAAGCCTCTTTTTGTGTGTAAAAATAAGCAAAATGCAAAGTGAATTGGAATAGCAAACAAAATTCAATATTCCTGAAGCAGCAAATGAGATAAACAAGAATAATCAGAGAAATAGAATGTACTAGCTTGTTTCTACTGGATTGCACCCAAGTTAGAGTAAAGTGGTGTGCCCTGCTGTTCCAGATTAAACTCCAAACACAAGATAGACGGTCAAAAGATGTCTGACACCCCGCAGTCCCCAGCCCCCGAGAGTCCCACTACTTGGCACAACGGGGACCACACCCAGCGAAGCCGCAACGGCAAGGCCGGCAGACTCAACCACACCGATGGCGAGAAAGGGAACGATGTATGTAATCTCCTCTATTTTGTTTCCGCACACACACACCACCCCCTCCCACCCGGCCTCCCTCCGGTGGTATTTGCCGCAGCCCCCTGCAAATGAGTTTTAACTTGCTCTCTTGTGTTGGTTCACATGAATTCTCATCTAAGACACTGAGAGGTTTGTGTTCTTTTATTAGTTTTTCCTAGGTCATAGCTCAGTTATTATTATTATAATTATTATTATTAATGGTATTATTTTCAACATGTCAAAGACAAACCTTTTCGCAAAACTTGCCGCTCCTGCTGCTTTGTTTCTGGCTCTCTTTGACTCCTGTCATCTTGTGTTTCTTTTTTAAAAAATTCTTTTCTTTTCTTTTGTTTGTTTGTTTTTTGCTTTTGTTCTTGTTATTTGCCAGTAATACAGGGAGGGACCAAAGAGAAGAAAAGTTTAAGTGTTTCCGTTCAAGTATATACTCTCTGAGTCACACAGCATTAGCGTACCATACCTCGGATGGGGATCCGAGCCACATTGGTGCACAAAGTCTCCAAACAAAGGAGCGGAAAACGATATGTTGTGGAGTTGTGTGATTTTCTCTCCGTCACAAGTCCCAAACCTGCGAAGAAATATCAACTCAGGTGTGATAAGTTTTACGCCAGATAAAGACTTAATTAATCAGCATTGAAAGAGCTGCAATCTGATTTCTGACAGTGCTATAAAGTGATAGCAATCTGCAAATTCCCCTCAAACAGAATAATCCAATTACTTACTGGAAAGTCTGAATCCAAGCAGGCCAGAATGAGTTATAGCAAATTTTTAAGTGGTAGCTGAGTATCCTGGCACATATGGAAGATTAAAAAAAAAAAAAAGGAAAGAAGGAAGAAGAAATAAAGAGAAATGCAAACATGGATTTGCTGTGTCATAATTAAAAAGGTAAGAAAAATTACCTTATGACTTATTTATGAAACATTTTTTTAGACATAAGAGTCAGTGAAGCTAAAGTGAGGATATCTTTAACGTAATAAAAAATCAGTGCCCAAGTAATTACAAATCAGAAAGTTTGCTCTCAAAAATGAGCACTCAAAGACTTTTGATTTAAAAGCTTTGGGTATTTATGATTTTATTATTACTTATTTTGGGGTGACTATTGCATTTTTTAATTAATCAGATCTGACTGGTGTTCTAAACAGTTAAAGACAATTTTGATAATATTTAAAATGGACTTTTACATCTTTCTTTGATACAGTGACTGTATTAAAGCACAGGATTCAATGATGAGGTAATAAACAGACGAGTGATTAGTAACACTTTCAAAGTTGACACCCTTTTGCATGATTTAAATGAACAACTAAACACAGGAATACAGGAGTAGAAAATGTATGTCACGTCAATATCTTTTGAATTTTAAAAAGCTATCGATAACTGCTTTTTATTTACATGTGGGTGGCAGCACTACATTTTCATGAACAGTGCGAGGGAGGCTTTCCTTTATTTAGACTGGGAGACATCACATATGCCAGAAATGAAAAGAAATCAACTGGCCAATCACAGTGTCATGTTTTTTCTTTAGGCTCGCCAGCTGTAGGGACGATACATTTGACTTTATATTTACATTTTTGATTGTGGATGCTAATAACAGTCAAACACAAGCGATAAATAACGGTATTTTTAACGCATGTGTTTCATGTAAATATGACACCGCAAGTTTGTTTTGGCTCAAGGTTCTTTAAATCTTTCATACATGTCTAAATCCTGCACTGCATTAAAAGTGAGTTATAACCCCAGTTCCAAAAAACTTAAGATTCTGTGTAAATGTAAATAACGGAGGGTGATTATTTGCCCTATAATCATTATTTGATTATTATTTATTTTATGTCATAAATACATGTTTTATTCACAATAGATAACAAAAAATGTACCAAATGTATAAACTGAGAACCTAAAAAAAAAAGTTACTTTGAATTTGATGACAGCAACGTATCTCAAAAAACTGGGAACAGGGCCATGCTTGAGGAGACCAGCTGCTGGACTTTTGGAAGAGCAATGTTGTCCCATTCTTGTCTGTTATAGGATTACAGCTGCTCAACAGTTCTGGGTCTTCTTTTTCTTACCGTTATTTTCATTATGTGCCTTGTGTGTTCAGTTAGTGAAAGGTCTGGACTACAGGAAGGCCAGTTCATCACCCCAACTCTTCTACTATAAAGTCATACTGTTGTAATAAATTAGATGCACCATGTGGTTTAGCATCACTTTGATATGTGAGTTCTCTAAACCCTGTACGTAAATTATAAAACTGATTGTGCTTTTCACAATGTGCAAGCTCACTTCCATAGGCACTAATGCACCCCCATACCATCAGAGATGCAGACTTCTAAGCAAGAGTTAACAACAAGTTGGATGCTCCTTCTCCTCTTTAGCCCAGATGCAATGCCCATGTTTTCCAAAAATAATGTTTTTTTTCTTCATTGGAGCTTCACCCTGTGTTCACAGAAAGCGATTTCAGGAAATGTTCCTGAACCCATGAGGTGATTACAAGGATAGAATCATACCTGTTTTTAGTACAGTGCTGCCTGAGGGTTCAAAGATCATAGGCATTCAGTATTGATTTTTGGCCTTGTCCACTGTGCACAGACATTTCTTCCGATTCTCTGATTCTTTTGGTGGTACTATGTACTGTAGATGATGAGATCTTCTAAACTATATGTTGATGGACCTTATTCTGAAATTCTTTTACAATTTATAGATGCTGTGTTTTTGCAGCCTGGTGAACATTTGATATGTGTTGCTGCCATCAAATTCAGAAGAGGCTAATGAGTCAAATGTCTTAGTTTAAACATTTGATATAGCTTCTGTGTTTTCTGCTGGTTAATAAAATATGGGTTTATGAGATTTGAAAATCATTGCATTCTGTTTTTATCAAAAAATTTACACAGCTACTCGGTATTTTTGAAATCGGATTTGCATAAAAACATGTCACTCGACAGGTCCTTTAAGGAATGATGGGTTAATTACTCTGTTCTTCAAATGAAAAACTCCACTGCAAGCTCATAGTAGACTGACAGAGGATAACATGGTATAAATCATAAATGTAGTCCTCCCTGTCTGTTCAGGCTGAAGCTGCTCATTGTTTGTTTTGGTATTTTCGAACATTACCATGTTTGTGAGCCCCTGATTACCTGAAGACAAAGACAAACCCTTTGATGAGCTTTAAATTGCTTACTGCTATTATGGAAGCATCCCTGCTCCTCCATAATGTAAATGGGTCATTAGAGCTGTGGTTTGATGAGTGATTACACTAAAATTAAATAAAACACACCACTTAGACAAAGGGGATCACCTGTGAAATCAGCAATCACTGATAAATATGAGTTTAAATGGGCTGCAAACACTCACTCCTGAGAACTGACACCTTCTATTTCCTACTTCAGCTTGCATGTCTCTCTACGGGGTCTCATCTGATCTCTTTCTCTCTTTCTCTCTCTGCTTATTTCATTCATTACTTTGTTTTCCTTATCAATTTAAGTGGTGAATAAATGAATAAATGCCCAAATCTTTCTGTCTCGTTTATATAAAAAGCACTCAAATGTTTTGGAACTGGACCAAGTAGGTTAACTGGGTATGTGTTACAGTTTCTTTTTGTCAATACAATTGTCTTTCTTCTCAAGCACATGCTCTGCTCAGTGATAGATCCTCTTCTCCTCCAGGCGTCTAACAGCTCCTGGCAAACCACCAGGGGTTAAGGAGATGCTCCTCTCTGTTGCTTTACTTCACCATGTCGATGTGCATGAGGCCCCTAAGAGGCAGTATCTCTTCTGTTCCTGCCTTTTTTGTTTATACTTAATCTGGACAATGCCAAGCAAGCTCTGTTTGGTCATGTATATTTGAGCCATTCTGTTGGGAAATAGTATAAGAGGAGCGTGTAATTGGCTCACATTTTCTAAAGCAGCATCTTTGTGGCACATAAACTACCACTCTTTTTAATCTCCACCAAAAGCTCAAATATTTAAAAATTATCAAAGTGGAACATTGCACGGGAGGATGGTTATGAGTGACAGATCCTGGATCTAACTGAAGTCTGATTTTACTGCAGCAGTTGTGTGACTAAGCAAATGTTCTGCATAGCAGCTCTGGTTTTACTATCTATCATCTCAGTTTGTGTTCCTGTAGCCATCCTGTGGCTCTGTTTGAAGCAGTCTTATTCACTGTGTGGGAGGGAGTCCCTCAGATGTCCCAGAGGAAAGCTCAGAGTAACAGCTGTGTGCTGTTAAGCTGCTGTTGGGCCAAACTAACCAGTCAGTCCATCTGTCCAAAGCTTTCTCTCTGGAAAAACACAGCATGCAGTTTGAAAATCATTCTAATTCAAGGTAAATTTTACTTTTATTTGCTCTTTACTGCTCCTTGTTGCCACTGGAGAAAAACATCTTCAACAACAGTGGCTATTTTTTGATTTAAATGTTCTTCAAGATGAGCATTTCCTAACTGTTTGTGGGAATGGGAATTTAAATCAACTCTATTTAATTTTAGCTCAATTCCAGATATTTTATTTATATAGTACCAAATCACAGAAACGGTCACCTCAAGGTGTTTTATATTGTAAGGTAAAGATCCTACAATAATACAGAGCATGACCGACTATGAGCAAACACTTGGCGACAATGGGAAGGAAAAACTCTGTTTTAACAGGAAGAAACCTTCATCAGAACCAGACTCAGGGAGGGGCGGGCCATCTGCTGCAACCAGCTACAACAGGAAGAAGACGCAATACAAATAAGCAGTTTATCTGTATTTATTTATTTGCTAATAGAATAATTATTTATTACAAGTTTAACTGCAAAACAGATTTTTACCTAACTGCCCTTTGAAAACCACTTGTGAGGATCTCACCATTTTGTTTGGATAAATTGGATTAACACAATGTGTTCCCTAAAACTGTGCAATGTGTGGGTCTCCTCAAGGTCAGTTTATAGCATCATATCTCAAAAATGACAAAATCTAAATACAAAATGCCAAAAGAGAGCAATACACTAATACAGCTTGCAGTCTAGTCTGCAGAAGTTGGAGATAAAGAAAAAAGAAAGCAACAAAGGCAACTTTCTTTGATTCTATCATGCCGGGGGGGGGTAAATGAGCCAATCTCAGCTAGGCTCATCAGATTTAATCAAACAACAAGGAATGACAATAAAGACTAACTATTTATAATTTATCTAACTATACTGTTTTTTTTCCAGAGGTAAGGCTTCTACTAACTGATCCATCCTGCAGCATCCCTAGGCTTTTCTATGGGAAGCATCCATTTCTGCCTCCTCCACAGTGGATGAAACAGTCCCAAAAGGGCTAATTTCTTCCTGCGCATTATTAATGGATATCTTTAAACACGATTACATGGACTTTTGAAAATAGTTTGGACAACTTACACCTTAATTAACATAATTTTGTTTTTAAAGGGACTCAAGCCATTTTGATTGAAAGCTCTCTGTATACACTAACAGTTTAAACAGCAGCTCAGAAAAGCTCCTTAAGGCGCCCTCTTGTTGTACCTGTGTTTATGGTGATAAACACAAAGGAATGCCTGGAAGAAAGCTGGGCTGACGTCCAAAAATAAAGTACAGAGTAGACCAGTGCTGTTCCTACTGTTGCTGCTGCTGCTGGAGAAGACCCAGGCCAAAATGTGACTGGGGTCCCTTTCAGATGTGCTGACTCTTTAGTTTGTCAATCTTAGCAGTGACTGCTCCCCTCCAGCACTCTTTTTAAACCCCTCCTCCTCTTTCCTACCCGATCATCTGTGTCCTGTGTGACTCACATCTCACTCTCGTTGTCCTGCCATTTTTCTTCCCGCCAGCTCTGCATGATCCCCCCCCCCCTTCTATTCCTCCTCCTGCTTCTCCTCCTCCTCTGTCTCCATTTAGCAATTCTACTCTACATGGATGTCCACTAACATTAACTCTGTCCCTCTCTGTCCTCCCTCCCCTGTTTTGATACAAATATGGCTGCATTTGTACAAGCGAAAAAGACAAAGCAAATCATGTAGTTTATAGATTCATCCTTTGTTTTGAATTTGATTTTGAATTCCATCTGATTTTGATTTTTACTTTCCCCCCTCTATTTTTCTTTCTTTTTTTTCCTTTTTTTTTGTTTGGTTTAATTTATTCTCAGTCTCTGGACTAAATATGTAGCGCTGATACTAAAAGAGGTCATTGTCTTTTTCCCATTTTCGCTGCGGAGAACATTCCTTTCTCCTCTTTTTTTCCTTTTTTTCTTTCTTTCCTGTTTTTTGTTGATATTGCATACGTGTCACTGATTGAAATGGAAGGTAGGTAATGCTTTGCCTACGCACGTGATCTTTATGCAGATGAGAATGTGACAAGCACCCTAGCCTGAGTGACGTCAATGTTTCTCTCTCAATCTCTCTCTTTCTCTCTCTCTCTTTCTGTTGTTTACCAATGGTCTTTAACCAAATTAATTTGACTTCATCAATTATGATTTGACTCTTAAAAGATTGGATTACGTAGCGCTCTGGTTTTTCTCTTTCCTGCTTAATTTCATCCTGAAGTCCAGTATCCAGCTTTATCTTCCAGGTCCATTTCTGTCCATTTATTTTTCTTTTCTCTCTGTTCTGGTCGAATGCATTCCTGTTTGTCCAGCATCTCTCTGTTTGTCGGTGAATTAGTACATTCGTCTTTTGATTTTCACCATATTGATTTCCTCGACTGTTTCCAATAACTGTCTTAAGCACAAGTGGTTGTGTTTTCCTATTATTACGCTTAGTTGTCTCCTCTCTAGTGGAGAACGGTGCTTTTGTTGTATCTTCAGATAGCAGCTCAGACAGAACAGGATAATGCATGCGGAAGACCCAGCTGTATTTGCTTTCAGACAAAGCGCCTTTTGGAGATTAACCTTCTGGCCTGCTTACAGTGAGCAGTGCATTACTGTGCATCACAAATTTTAGTCCCTAAACTCCCACTGTAATGCTAATTATATTTTTTGTCCTATGCTTAAAATAGAGGTTCTCTCTACATACTGTTTAAGGATGACAGCACTCTAGTTTTTATTTTATCATGAAATCCCCTGAAAAGACCAAAGCAAACAACACAGGCTGTCTGTCAATACAATTCCTGTACCCAGTCTGTTGTATATTCTTACCGAACGTGCAATAATTTATGAATGGGGCCCAATAGTTCCATTTCCGCAAACAGTTTCATTTGGTAAGACTTTACAACAAAAATCAGTTTAATTTATATGGTGCTAGTTAACAGTTAGAATTGTCTTAAGGTCCTTTATGTTGTAAGGTAAAAGAAATCCCCAACAATCAGATGCCTGTGGGCAGCACTTGGTAACTGTAGGGAAGAAAAACTCCCTTTTAACAGTAAGAGACCCCTGACAGAACCAGGTTAAGGGAAGAGATGCCATTGAAGCTAGACACAAAAGTGAAGTGAAGACATGTTCACAGTAATGATGCTGACGTTTAGTACTTAGCTCTTAGTTTGCTGATTTAACACAAAGTACAGCTGAGGCTGACGGGAATGTTGTAAACTGAAGTATTGGATTGCATTTTAATTTATTTAGGCTTTATCACTGTCATCAAGTTATTAACCAAATTCCATGACAATCTAGCTAATGACAATACACTGAAACTAGTTGGTGGTGGTTGATAGTGTGCCAGAGAATCTGGGAACTGGAAATATCTAATTCAGAGTTTACATTTTTCTGTCTCGAGCAAAGTGGTAAATGAAGCTGCTATTGCCATGCTAGTGGCTCTGCATAGGGGACAGTGCTCTCCTAATATCCTTTCTGGCCATTATAATTTCCAGAGTAAATGTTGCATGTCATGGGAACTATTTTTAACCGTGCGTTAACACACATTTGGTGCACTAGGACCTCTGAAATGCACTGCATGTGAATGTTTGTGCTTTCTCCAAAGTAAACTGCTCGGCCCATTTTCATGCCAATGAAATAAGAGATTACCCAGTGAAGCAACTGAACTGGCTGCCCTGCTAAAATAAATTAAGTGCAGTTTATTCGGGACCACTAAAGTCAGGTGTTATTTCCTTATACACTCATTTATTTTTGGCAGCATGTCATTGTTCTGATACCCCCCACCGCACCCCACCCCCCACACACACCCCACCCCCCACACACACCCCACCCTTCAAGCTTTACAAGGAAAGCAAGAGGTGGGAAGCCCTGGGACGGAACAGCCATTAATGACAAACAGCTGATTTAAACACTGATTTAAAAACAGCATAAAAAGGAGGAACTTGGATATAGATGGGTTGCAAAGTGGCTTGCAGATGCAAAGCAACTATGAGCAGAAAAACCCAACCAAAAATTGTTTTGGTCTTTTTGTGGGATTTACAAAAGTGTATGATATTGTCTGCTTTATACCCTTTAAAGCTTTGCCAATTTTTGTTAGCTTCAAGGTCATTCCTGACTCTAAAAAAATCACTGATTTGGGTAAAATGTCTAGTTTTTTAAGCCTATTAATACAGCACTCTCTAATGTAGCAACAACTCCCTGGAACTACATGTAATATCAAAATCCTGCTAGTGTGAGAACTGTAAGTGTCCTGTATGAAAGAGATGAAAGAGTCCACAAGCACGAACACTGAGATAGTTAACTAGCAAACATGTCAGGCTGTCTCATTATATAAAGCACACTAAGAGCAAAAAGGTAAAGGAAGTATCTTTAACTCTCACCGACCCGTTGCTCTGTGATGTTTAGGAAGGTGACTGGGCCCAGAGGATTTAACTCTCTGTGTGAGGGACTCCCTGCACATTGTGGTTTTCCTCTTTGCTTTTCAGTTCTTTTCTATTGATTTCCATGCATTGTCTCATGAGTCACTGGCAGGGAAGGGTTTTGTGTCTTTTTCTCTTGCATTTTGTGAATCTAATGATGCACTTATGTTGCCCCACTTTTCCCTTTTCTTCATACCTTACCTACTAAAGGAGGGAATACCACTTTATTGGTAAGTGGATGTTAACCAAAAGGGAGTTAAACACGAGTAACCATTAAAAAAAAAAACAAAGAAAATGGGTCGCTGTTCACATCTCAGCAATTGTCTTCAGGAAAAAAAAATCCAGAAAGAGAAAATTGAGTAGCAGAAGATTTGTTTTCTGATTCGATTGATACAATAATTGTGATCTTTATTTTGTTCCTTCCATTTCTGTGATGTTCCGTCAAGTTGTCTTCTTTCTGTTTCGTTTCTTTTTAACCATTACTGAAAAAACTGAAGAAGTCCTCTGTTTCTACTCTACAAAATCTGTAGCTCTCTACTTTCTGCCTCTGCTCTTAAACTTATTTGGTTCACAGTTTTGTTTTGTTTCTTTTTTCTACCCTCTCTTCCCCCTCTTCCTAGATTTTTTTTGTTTGTTTTTGCGATTATGATTTCTTCAACTCATTATGGTTTTGCATGCCAAGTATTGCATGCGCTGCACCATAGAGGACTATCTATAAGCCATATGGAGAAAACCTAGATCTTTTTCTTTTAGATGTTTACCTTCTTTTGGCAAGTACACCATAGCTCTCAATTACCAACTTGAAAACTCTCTGATGCTATTTTTTTATCCTTTTTTTTCTTTTTTCTTTTCTTTTTTCTCCCTTTTGTTGGTCATCATTTCTCTACAGAAGTTCCACATGCTGACTGCCAGCTCTGCAAGCGTCCAGTCATCTCTGCTGAGAGAGCACAAGGTCCACAGCGCCCCTATCAGGAACCAGATGGGAAAGATGTGTGTGGCAGAAGATGCTGGGAGTGTCGATGGCAGGGGCACAGCTATAGGGAGCTCTCTGAGCAAGGCGTCAGGGAGGAGAGGAGGCCAGAGAGGTCAGAATAAGAGCTCCCACTCCCCTGCTCACAGCAGTGACTCGACCCACTCCCAGCACAACCATACTTACAGAGGGAGGAGCTCTCGTCACCACAGAAAGTAAGCCTTCCATTGCAGTTGTGCACTTTCAGGCTCTTATCACTGCTGGACCTCACCGCTTTGGCTTTGCAAATGAGAGAGAACTGTTTGACATCTGCTGGATTATACTTCCCATTCCCCCAGGGGAAAAGGTGGCCACTCTTCCAAGAGTCACCACCAATCCAGTCGGGGTCAGGCACGCCACCGGAGCACATCAGCGTCTCCAGGGCACACGTCAGCCAACAAAGTCGGGAGCAAGGCAAACCTCAGACAGCGCAGCAGCTCCTGGAGCAGTGGGCGTTCATCCTCGCCCTCTGCCTCCAAAGACAGAGGACCCAGCAAGGCCAAGTCCCCGCACAACAGGCAGAACGCCTCCAGGTGAGCCGCTGTCTGATGTATAGTAGATTTATAATATGCTCCCATTGGTCGATGTCATTGCTGGTGTGACTGATTTGTGTGTCACACAGGGACAGGGAGAGTGCCAACCGCTCTGACACCGACAGCCGAGCTCGCCGCCGTTCACGCAGCTACTCACCTATCCGCAAAAGAAGAAGAGATTCACCCAGCTTCATGGAGGCTCGCAGGATCACCAGGTAACGCCACATGATTAAACACACTTCTCCTCCACATTGTGTGTGTGTTTCAGCTCTTCCCTGCAAGGACCAAGCCCCAGAATAACACAGCCATGTATCTTGTTCTTTCTCACAGGCCTGAGTGGCTCTTAAATATGAGACACTTTAATGCGTTACACTTAAAGCATGTCCCATGATTTGGCAGGATGGTACTCATGCTGGGGTAAAAGTCATTCTTTCATAGCTTCAAATTACAACAAAGGCAGGCAAAAGAAATAAAGAGAAGGGATTTTGCTTCTGTTTCAACTCACGACCGGTAATTTTTAAGAAACCCATTAAGAGCCATTAAATCCTTTATTTGGAATAAAAATGAAAAACCACAGGCATAAATGGATGCAGTCATTATAAGGGTGGAGCTCTGGTAGACAGAAAATGTTACCTCCTGCTTTTAAACATCTATTTCAGACTTTCTATGGGCATCATGAGGTACATAAAGTGGTCACTGTCCTTTATGTTTGGGTTTTTACTCTGCCATCATGTTTCATTTCCTTTAGAGATGACATACCATGTGTAATAGTTTTGTACTTTCATTTACTGCAATGTCCCTCACTAAACAAGTTTTTATTATTGCCTAACTATAGCACTAGAGAATTGAAATACTGTATGAATTAAAAGCAAACATGCTACCAACAAAAACTACAAATCATATGGTGTTTCTGAGTCATTTCAGTAGAAAGATTGAACTGAAACTGCAGAAAATGTGCCTTTTGGTGATACCTGGGACCAGATACATACAGCTCTGTGTAGACTTCAGTGTTGGGTAAGTTACTTTAAATTAGTAACTTAGTTACATTACTAGTTACTTCTATCAAAAGTAACTCAGTTACTTCAAGTTACTCGTTACTTTCA